TGGGATTTCTGTGAAGGCGGGCATACCGGATTTCAGGTCTCCGGAGGGACTCTTTCAGACCTTGAAGCGCGATAATCCGAAGGAGGTTTTAGCTTCTGGGAAGGATCTATTCGATGCGTCGGTGTTCCATGTGAGTTTTCTACGCCGTTGAATTGCCAAGGTGTGCTGGGCGAGTTCCCCCTCGTCGATGCAACCGAAAATTCGTACTTTTGAGACACGTCCAACTAATGGTTTCCTCTCTTCGTCAGTCCGAGAACACCACAGCTCTGTTCTACCAAATGATTGCTCGCCTATCCGAACTTTCCGAAGCTGCCCAACCTACGCCCTTTCACAACGTCCTCCGCGCACTCGATGACAGGGGCAAGCTGCTACGGGTCTACTCGCAAAATATTGATAGCCTCGAACAGAAATGTGGGCTCTCCTTTGGTGTTCCCGCATTTCAAGAGAGGCGGACCAAGCCTCGCACCCCGAAAGCCAATTTCAAGTCTATATCGTCTTCTGCCATTTTAACAGAAGCTGAACCCGTAGCCGCTGAAAATGTTGCATCCACCAGCCGTCTCCCAACGCCGCCCCCTGAAATTCCTCGCTGTATTCCGCTGCATGGAACCCTCCAGACGGTCCACTGCCAGATCTGCAACCACTCCTTTGCGCTCGCGGACCATATCGAATCCCTCGAGCTCGGAACACCACCTGCATGTCCAGAGTGTACCGCCATGGAGGAGACCCGCCAACTGGTTGGAAAGCGCGCCCGTGGCATCGGCCGCCTACGCCCCTCCGTTGTACTGTACAACGAAGCCCACAAGGATGGCGAGGGCGTCGGCGATGTGGTGCGGCGAGATTTGCTCGGGCTTTCGAAAGGGAAGGGTCGAAGTGGTGCGGACCTACTCCTCGTCGTCGGCACGAGTCTGCGGGTGCAGGGCACGAAACGTATGGTCCGCGAGTTCGCGAAGGCGGTACGCGCGCGGGGGAAGGACGGCGCAGGCTCGAATCGCCCCAGTCCATCGCCTGCGACTGGGGCCACGGAGGAGGAGCCGCCCGTAAAGACGGTGTATCTGAACCTCGATTTTCCGGTGCCAACACGTGAGTGGGAGGGTGTGTTCGATGCGTGGCTGCAGGGCGACGCCCAGCTATTTGCGGAGATGCTCCAGACGGAGATTGACAAGGAGATGCGCGCGAAACAGGCCGCCAGTGAGAAGAAGCGGCGGAAAGACGAGGAAGAGGTGCCGGAGTCTGGGAAGAAACGCAAGGCGGCGCTGCCCAAATCGACCGAGAGTCCTAAACGTCGGAAGATTTCCATACCGCCCACCCCACCGCGCAGCACGCCCACGAAAAAGTTTTTCATCACTCTCCCTGCTCCCCGCATTCACAGGCTTATTCCCGAGGTCTACATCACGTCCCCGCGCCCTTCCATGCGGCAGCGCCCTATTCCCGAGAACTCTCCCCCGCGCCCTCGCACTCCGGTCAAAATCGACCATCGAAATTCCCCGAAACCCAAGATTGTGCTCAAGAGTCTGTCCCCTACACCTACGCCTGGACCCGACTCCGAGGACGCCGACGGAGATCTGTTGCCCACTTTCCACGAGGGCGACTCCGCGGACGCTCTCACGCCTGCCCTGTTGCGCACAGTCCAGTATGGACTCCGATCGTCGCGTTCGAGTTCGCGCTCGCGGGAATAGCTGTTTGACTGAGTGAGACGTAGTTGATGGACTGTAAATTATTGTATAAGTACATATCTAGCGTATATTTAGTGTAGTATCTTCCTTAGTATACCACGACGATGTGGGCGGCGCCATTCGGATAGACATTTTTGGCCAAACGATTGATGGTTTCTGGCTTTTGACAATCGCTCTACGTACGTCGACGAACCCAGATAACAGAACAGAATTCTCAGATGCAATTCGTTACAATTGTCCCAAAAAATATACATCATCATAATACATACAGTTGAAGGCAATTGGCCCAATATTCGTGTCGTTATTCATACACAATACGCGACGTGCACCCGCCACACCCGTCCATCCCGCGAATACAAATTAACGAGTCGCAACTCTGCGACAGAACGAACGACGATGGCCGCTGCCTTTAGGCCAGCGGGATTGAACGGGAAATCCTTTGTAGGAGTTATTATCCATCTTTTGTAGACGTCGAGACGATAACATACCTTGAGAAAAGAGTCAAACGCAGAGGCTACAGCATACGCAAGATTGAAGCGCGAAATCCTCCGGTGAGGACAGTTTCCGGAGATCGATTGGACAAAGGTAGCGTAGCCTTTCGCCTGCGGTGTGAAAAGGACGCGTAAAGAGGTGCAAAAAAGGAAGAAAACACGGCGCACCTCTAGAGTCAGGAACACCTGGTCTACGCCGTTGTCCAAGATCGGCGTGTCAGGATCTTTCAAGCAGGGCCGAAAGTCGAGGATGTCCGCCATACTTACACCGAATGCTCGGCCGGGGTAAGCGCTGGGGGTCGGCTGAAAGGGAATCATAGTGTGCCCGTGTGCTGGGGGCAGCGGAGTGGGAATCTGCTGTTTGTGGGCGTACGGAGACTCGGAGGATATTGGGCCTCGAGCAGTGGCGGCGGCACGACGGTCTTCAATATCTCGGTCGAAAGTGCAGTGTTGGCAGGCCAAGTCGCGCGGGCGCGGTCGTAAGGTCTCTCGAGGGTACATAGCCGGCGAACCAACAGGAGTCATAGCCTAGAGAAGCTAAGTTGCAGCGCCAGAGGTAAGTAGCGAACTCAGCACAATTGGTGGTAGTCGCTACGAAGAAAAATAATTATTTATCGAGTTGGTAGTGGGGAATAGTTCAGAGCATACGCTAGTTTCCCTTTGTTCAGCCTTTACTGGTCGAGAATCGGACCAGCTTTGGGGTCTCTGATCAAGAACGTCAGGGAAAGAAAGCCTCTCAAAGAGAATTCTTACAGGGCGGAATGGTGCAGGCGATTGCACGGGTTGCGCGTGACTTTCTCGTCGGCCGTGAAACTACGAGATGATGTGAATCTGGCGGCAAAAAGGATATCGGTCCTACGTTCGACGACGACTCGCGTTCACGCGTCTCGGGATAGCGCTGGCTCCGTTGATGAGAGTTATCCTAATAGTGATTTCAGATGGGATAAATAGTCAAAATATGGACAAGCTTACACTCGTTGAACGATTGTCCCTCGCGTGGACATTGGGAAATACAGAGGGACTACTCAGCACGTCCTGAAGATGTTTTAAAAAGAGCATTTTGTTGCAGCAGGAATACATACCGGAGGACGCGAAGATACTGAGGGGCGACGGCCGACCTGTAATGGAGGAGGCGGGGAAGCGTGCGCGTATCCCGTCGATAAAGCGTTCTTATCTGGACCAGGCTAGAAGAAACGTTCAAGGACATCATGAGGCGAACGTCACGAGAGCAGTACGTACAAAACCAGGCCAAGCTGAAGGTCTGCGGACGGCGGGGACTGAGGGCTGAGCTAGCTGCCGCTGAAGAACTTCTGCAAACAATACGTTGATCGGGGGTAAACTGGGCGATTCACCAGTCTTCTGAAGAGGTGAGGACACGAGCAAGAGGACACTGGCAGCTGATCAAACACATACGGAGGATTGAGAATGCGACATCGAAGTCCAGGGAAAGAACAAAGAAAGAGACAAAGAAGTCACGGCTGAAGAGAGCCAGCCCACGGGTGCAGCTCACCCCTGAAAAAAAACGGGGCCCGCACGATGGTAGATGGTCCGAAGAGACACAAGATCATCATATGTGGAATGCTGATTATCATGTCGGTAGCTGAAGAAGTTGGCCAGGTTTGTATTCAGGGCTAACGCCGGCGGAATTAAATATCAGCCCAGTAAGCGACGGTGATCCAAGTACAGGCCGAACGATTCAAGACAGGCTAAAGCGAATGCTCTGACGCTGAAGAACACAACAGCGGAAAAGTCTTCGTTGAACTTGATCGAAGTGAACATTATTTGCGCAGGTTTCTCACGATTTGAAGCTCCGCTCTTCTCTCTTCCGCGACGAACGCGCGTTTCCCGCGCATTTCTCCCATTCATTCGCATTCATTCGATACAAAACGTATCTACACTCCACACGCCTTCAATCACGTTTCAGACGCGACTCGACGGCTATCGGCGACGGCAAATAAGACGGGCTCCCAAACATTTCCCGGGCTTCAGGGGTGTTCCTCGCATTCCTGGGACCTTGTTCTCCTCCCTTCCGTTTTTTTTTACGCCTCAGGCCTCAGGTCTCAACACTATACCTGGTCCTCCGTGACCGCTCTATTAGTCTTTGTGGTCAAGGGTGCGCAGTCGTCCATAATGCGTAGATTTACCACTCGTCCCTACACCTCCCACGACGACCATGGTGATGAAGTTATTGACAGAACCAGAACCTCCTCGTAAGTAACTCTGATGCGCAGGCCCACAAACCGTCATCACCGACCGCACCCCTCCCATCTTGCTCGCCAATTTGTACACTAAGCAAGCATGGTACTTAATGGCCACACTCATCGGACTGGTCGCTGCCTGCCACGCCATCTCCCTTCTGCATGGACTCGGACACCAACTCCGATTTTCCCTACCGAATTCTGCTCTCGCCCGAGAAGTCGCATAATTTATATATTTCAACATGGCCGTGTGGTAAAATGGTTACTATGTTGCTTTCCGACAGGCGCGCTCTCGTGTCCGGGATAAACGAGTAAGATGCCAGACTAGGGATCCACTTCGATCGGGCTTAACTTACAGTACTTGGCCATCACCTTTTCTTTTTCGTTGAGGGTTTCACCGCCCAAATCTTACAGAGATACTCTACCCGCGTTGACTCGACAGATACCACTGCCCACACGATGACCTTGGCTATGCGATGAAGCTATTGACTGGGTCAATCAATTCTTACCCTTGGAACCTCGATACAAATTGAACCTGAGGCGATGCCCGCCCGTCCCATCTGCAGTTTAAGCCCCTAGTAAGTAACCTTGAATCAATGCATCGGGATCATGACTATGACTTTCTCCATCAATAGCAAGGCCGTGTGGCAAAATGGTTACTGCGTTGCTTTCCGATGAGTGCGCTCCTTGCGTAATCTAAGGCAGAGACTGTGGGTTCGAGTCCCACCATGGTCGCTTTTTCACACCTCTCTCAGACTTGACTTTTTTTTCCCCAAAGTCACCCCAGAATGCCTCCAAACCGAGCTTTTCATCTCTAGATACCGTCTGGACCCGAAAGGAATATTTGGGAGTCCTACGCCTTCGATCATGAGTCGATGACAATTTCGCGACAAACACCCAGGCGATAGTACGCGCCGCGTCTGTTTCCCTCTCTAGTTCGCCGGCGCACCTTTGTAGTACCTTTGTTCACTCAGGTCTGCGAGACAAGAAGGCATCAGACATTCCATAATTCCATGAAGAGTCATCTTCATCTATACAATGCATGTTACAGGTGATATACAAAGTTACACAAGCAAACTCAAAACGTCGGCGTGTCAAACGTATCGTCATGATCTGCAACCGGGGATCAGCAAACATGGATGAGAGGTAAAAAAAACAAAACACTGACCTTTACCGTTGGCATATATGTATTCCCTCTCCTTGGCGGCGAGATGCTTTATAAACGACTCGTGTTCGTGCGCGCTCACCGCCACTTTCGGGTTCGAAAGGGCGCCGCCGCGAAGGGCAGCGGCGGCGACGTCGTAGCGCGAAGTGTGGTTGCACAGCATCATCTGAAGACAAATCAACTTTGCATCCTAGTCTGCAGATAAGGAACGTACATCAAACGGCGAGGTCGTCGTGCCCTCCTCGCGATACCTATCTCTCAAGTCAGCCTACAGCGCACAAAGGCCAGCAACAGAGAAAAAGCGACCCACCCCTCGATCGACACCCTGTCGAGCTTGGGGCGCCCGAAGAGCAGGCCCTTGAGCTCGATGGCGTACCCGTGGTAGTTGAAGTGGATCGGCTTGTCGGGCGTGAAGAGCGAGTCGAACGCTTCATCGCTGAGGGCGTGCGGATGGGAGCCGTTCGCGCTGAGGATCATGAGATCGGTGACGTTCACGACGCGCACGCGCAGCTCGGGGACGTGTTTGCGCAGGAGGGCCGCGGCTGCGATGACCTCGAAGGTGACTTCGACGCCGATGCCGACGAGGACGCTGGAGGGACGGGTTGTTAATAAGGACTAGGACACGAGGTCGTGCTCACACGTCGGGGTTCACACCGTCGTCGACGCTCGCAAACTTCCAGACGGATGCGCCAGCGATGCAGTGCTATTGTGATATTAGTCTTCATAACAACATGAAGTAAGCAAACGAACCTTGTCCGCATCCTCGGGAGAGAGCCATACTGGTGTTGGTTGCTTGCTGCCCACCATAAGATTCACATAGTTCTTCGCCCTCAGACAGTGCGCCATCGTAGATAAGAAGCAATTGGCGTCTGGCGGAAGATACACGCGCGCCATTTTAGGCTTCAGGTTGAGGACGGCCCCGATGAAGGCCCTGAGAGGGGTCAATGGCATGCGAAGAGTGGAAGGGGAACACACACGGATTTTGATGAGAAAAGCCATTATGTTCTTGACGCGCCCAGGTGGAGGTCTCGAGGTAGTTCAGGGACCCACAAGCCTGGCGCCACGAAAACTCGGAGGACTGCGAGGAACGTCACCAACAGAGAACAAAAGTGAATCAGGCGACGCACCATCTTGGCGAACTTGCTATACTGCACCATCATCGTCTGGATGATTCCTATGCGTAAATCAGAACGCATACATCAACAAAAAGAGTGAGACAAACCGAGGAAGGCTTCGTAGCTGGGGAAGAGTCCCGTTCGGCCAGTGAGGGTATAGCCCTGCAGCATACCCTGGCAAGTGTGCTCCGACAGAATCTCAATGATGCGGCCGCCTTTGGCGCGCGATTCGACGTCCCACTGGAAATTGCGAGAGGACTCTTCGAGCACCGCGTCCAGCTTGTTGGAAACGAGCTCGTCTGGCGAGAAGATCCGGAACTTTTGCGGGTTTCTGCAGGCAAATTGTTAGCCACGATGTATGAAGGAAGTGAATGTCGGCGCGCACTCTTTGACGACAGCCTTGAGGAGTCGGCCCACTGCCTTCATGCAGCTCTCCTGCGTGCCCTGTTTGGCACAGAAGCCCTCCCACTTTGGGACCGACAGCGGCGTATAGTTGCGGAACGCCTCCTTCTTCTGCCCGAGGCGCTGTTCTGCGACAGTGGGGATGAGGCTGAGGACCTCTGGCACGGGCACCCCGTCAGGAGTGAACAGCTCTTCGGGGCGGTAGGACTTGAGCCACTCCTGCAGCACTGCGAGCTGATCCGCGTCGGTCTTTGCACCAGGAAGGGGCACTTGGTGCGAGTGGAACGAGCCTTCGATGAACTCGCCGTGGAAGGACTTGGGTCCGCCGAGGCCTTTGGCCGAGCGGAGGATCAGGACGGGCCAACGGGGCTTGACGATAGGATTTCCACCGCGGGCGGCTTTCTGAATCTTCTTGATTTCTGCAAGGGCCCAGTCAAAGGAGGCTGCGAGATTGTTGTCGATGTCCTCGACGTCTTCGATGATGCGGGCCTGGTAGCCGTAGCCGCTGGGCAGAGCAACGTCAGTCGACACAAGGTGGATGGGATGGCGTGTCCATACGTGAAAAGCGCGATGAGCTCCTTGTTGTCCATCGTCCCGTAGATTGTCCGCTCAGAGATTTTGAAACCATTGACGTGCACGATGGGCAGCACGGCACCGGATTCTGCTGGGTCGATGTACTTGAAGCCATGCCATGCAGTCGCCGTCGGCCCCGTCTCAGCCTCACCGTCACCCACCACACAGGCCACAATTAGGTCTGGATTATCCATGGCAGCACCGAAAGCCACACTGAGTGCGTAGCCGAGCTCTCCGCCTTCGTGGATGGCGCCAGGTGTCCCGGCGTTGACATGGCTGGTTTACACGCGTCAGATGTACTGGTGCGCACAGAATCTAGGCGAGACTGACCTAGGAAAGCCACCAGGGACGCTAAAGCCTGCTATGAGTTTCTGGAGGCCCTTGCGGTCGCGAGTGATGTCGGGATAGAATGTGGACATCGAGTCCTCGAGCCACAGGCTGGCCAGGATCGCGGGAGCGCCGTGACCTGGTCCTACGACATACAACGCATGGAGGTCGTCTTTGCAGATCAGCCTGTTCAGTTGGGCGTATACCTATAAAGTGTCTTTCTCCAATGCTGATCCAGTACTCGCACGTGAAGACTAACCATGGTAAGGCCAGGGCATGTTCCCCAATGGCCCAACAGACGCGACTTGATGTCGTCGTGCGTCAAGTCGCGCTCAACGAGCACATTGTGGTTGAGAAATATCATCGCTGCAAGCAGTGTCAGCCCAAGACCCGCGGTGCAATTCGAGGTGCATGCCCGCTGCAATATAATCCGCGGCCCTGCGGAACAGCTTCAGGGATTTGAGCTCATCGCCCGAGAGGTAGTCCTTGGTATCCAGCTGGACGCCCAACTGCAGCACAGAGTCGGGTAACAGAGACGCGTCTGCTGGTGGGTTTGCTTGTAGTATAATCTGGCCCGGCATTGCGAGAAGTAGACTTGAGTGGCAATCCCCGTATGCTCTCTATTTTATACGAGACGAAAGCGCGTCATATGCCGCGGCATAAATAGAAAGCAAATCTGGCCTGCATTGAGGGAGCCAATGACGATAGTTCGAGTGAAGCCCAGATTCTCCAAATCGGGAAGCGCATTTTGTCCTTTCCCAAGTTGACCGTCCCAGCTCTCGTTCCAGGTCCTCCTGGATCCTCGCCACAACACTCTTTGCCACTCGCAACTCGGATATTCTCACTATGGCCGTCCTACACTAAGTCTAATTTGGGGCGTCAGCAGTGACGACGAATCATAAAAAAGAAAAGTGGGGTCCAGACCGACGTCATCAAGCTGCACTCCTGGACGTCGAAAAAACACCAAAAATTCAAAGTCCCTACAAGCGTTGTAGTTAGGGACTTATGTAGTTAGGGTAGCGTTGTAGTTAGGGAGAGTTAGGGACTTGAACAGAGAAAAGGAGGACGCTTGTAGTTAGGGACTTGTCTTTTTTTCTCAAAATTCACGTGTCCTCATTCCCTCGTTCAAGTCCTAACTGCAACGCTTGCAAAACTCTTTGACGCTCTCAACTCGAATATTCTCACTATGGCCATCCTAGAATCCAGCACCCTAGATCTAAGTTTGGGCGTCAGCAGTGACGACGAATCATAAACCAGAAAAAGGTGGGGTCCAGACCGACGTCATCAAGCTGCGAACGTCTTTTTAGAGTCCTGGACGCGACTCTTTGTATCAAATGTCCTCCAAGAATCTCGTTCTGTCCGTGAATGCGGGGTCCTCGTCTCTCAAGATATCGCTATATGGTGTCCAGCAGGGCGGCGATACCCTCGAGCCAGTCGAACTAATCCTCACGTCCTCAATCTCCAATATCTCTGCCCCGCCCGCCAAATTTTCATTCAAGGTTCTGGAGGGCACTAGCAAGGATGAAGAACCGCCATCTATCAAAGACCACGCCTCCGCGTTCGCCCACTTTATCGACTGCCTCGGCCAGGAAGCAGACATCGACTGCGCCCGCATCACCTATGTCTGCCATCGCGTTGTCCACGGCGGTGATTACACTGACCCTGTGGTGATCAACGACGAGGCCTACACCCATATTGAGCGCCTGTCTGACCTTGCGCCTCTGTACGCCGGTGCCCGCTGGAAATAATTATTAGCCACTCATCTACCATCCAGCCACAACGGCTCGGCTCTCGAGGTCATCAAAACATGCCTTTCCCAACTCCCAGACGCCAAATCAATCGCGTTCTTCGATTCGGCGTTCCACCGGTCGATCCCAGCGCATATATCCAGTTACGCTATTGACCAGAAGGTCGCGAAACAGCGTGGGCTGAAGAAGTATGGTTTCCACGGCCTGAGTTGTAAGTACGCGTCTCCTGTCTCCCGTCTCCCGTCTGACCCCGCATTCCAGACTCCTTCATCCTGCGCTCGGTCTCGCGTTTCCTGCAAAAGGTACATACGTACTCACCATCCGCTCGTCCCTTCTCTCCCGTTGATCCCCGCACAGCCAGCCGACTCCCTCAACCTCATAATTCTGCACCTCGGATCCGGCGCG